ACTTGTTAGCGGTGCTTTCACTATCGAGGTATTATAAAGTATGGCATGTTAATTGCACATGCATTGTATTAAAAGAAAGATATTAGAGGTACACTCCTTTATGACGTTGTTTTGGGTGTGCCGTGCTGTCAGGTCACTTAGTATTTTACTTTACTGGTTATTCTATATCCAAAGTAGATAATTTCATTATACTAAATATACACATATCCTCCATATTTTTTTATTGCTGCATTATATGTTGCAAGGAGCTGAACATAAATCCAGCTTTAACTGTAGTACTCTAATATAAGTACGTTGAAGTAGTTTCGGTTGGGTAATCCCTTAGTTAAAAACTAAATGTTTGGTAATCACAATCAGGAGCAATTGATATAAACTGAAACCTATAAAAAATATTTTATAATGTATCCTATAAAATTGTAAATGCAGCTCATTACATAACATTAGCTTTGCTGCAGCTGCCAATGTTGTACGGGAGGTTGTTGGCATAACCAAGGGCACTGTCACAAATATTGCCCACTGTTCCCTCAGGGTCAAATTACCTTTTAATGCACTTTTGCAGTTACCATTAGTTTATCATCCTTATCTTTATCTATTTATGCACATTAACACTAAAGGAAATGTGTAGATGTTTTTCTCAGGCGTGCAGTCACTATTTTCTGTTTCTGTGGCCGCACCCTTTAACCTGATCAAGGCAGTGCAAGTCATATTTATTTGTAGAACATATTTCAGCAACATCACAACTTAAGATGCCTCACATGATGAAACCAAAGACATTAAAGGGAACAGTGCTAAAGCATAAAGATTACAGAAAAGCTGACCTGCATACTGGAATTATCAGTAAATAGTTAAAGTAGAACCATCAAAGGCAACTCAAAATAATGGGATTTAAACTTTGATTTAAAACATTTCAGGGGTCAGTAATTTAGCTTTTAGTGGAGCACCAGACTTGAATGCTAATTCCTTCTGCTTGGTTGTTATTTTCAGGATGCAGAGTAGATTATAACCTCAATATCTGGCTTCTCTGAACGGCTGATGTTAAGACTGTTTGGTTCTTTAACAACTAAGGTCTAATCTCTGAGATGCAAAGACTCATTGTAAGACATTTAGAGCTAGAGTGATGTTCTACACTTGACATGTTCAGACTTCCCAAGTCTCCTGGAAGTTCCGGAAGTCTCCCTGATATAGATAGTTGTTCATGGATGACTTCAGAAAAGCTTCAGCAGTTCCTGCTATGGTCCACCTGAGTGTGGACCACCTAAACCTGCTGCATAATGACGTGTCTCTGCAGCATTTCCTCCCTGCTGTGTGTAGGTATACAGAGTAGACTTGATCCAGGAAACCTGTGACAACTGGGGGGGCTGGCACACTGACAAGTCTAATGAAGCATCATTAAAATGTTTAAAAGTTAAAGTTAGTGTTAGTCTCATTTTTGTGTTTGCAGGACATTTTGAACCCGTTGTGTAATGACAGTGTTACATCCCTATTCCACAGTAGGTCTCTTTAGTAAGAATAAAACTGCATATATTTACTATATAACAAAAAGACAGAATCAGTCCTCCCCTTGCTTCAGTAATATACCATAATGAACAATGTTGAATGGGGCTCCACGGTGACGCAGTGGTTTGACTCCCGGCTCAGGGTCTTTCTGCATGGAGTTGCATGATCTCCCTGTGCATGCGCAGGTTCTCTCTGGGTACTCCGGCTTTCTATTTCTATGCGTTGCTCTGTGATAGACTTGCGACCTGTCCATAGTATACCCCACCTCTAGGCCATAGAATGCTGGAGATGGGCACCTGCCCCACCACGACCCTGACAAGGACTAAACGAGAGAAGATGAATGGATGAACAATGTTGAATGCTGCACTCCAAGTCCAATATTTCTAATTCTGGGTTCTTACTCTACAGTCTGCACAGATTAACAAGCTGAGTGTCCATTCTCTTTAGAGCACCAAAAGCTGACTAGAAAGATCTGGTCATTGTTGGGAAGGTACCTAACTGTTTAAACAGAGCTTTTTCAATTACCTAGATAAGAATTTTAAAATGGGATTGTACTGCTGCAATGGCAACTTGTCTGAATTGTTCTGTTTCAACAATATTTTAAAAACTGTTGTTTTTAAGGATTGGGGGAAATACACTTGACAAAAGGGTGTCGTTTTTTTTTTCTCTTTTTTTTAATCAAATCCGATGCAATGAAGGACAAAAACCATTGAGCTTTGGGAAAAATATTGGGACAGAAGAAGGAGGAGCTTAATTTAGATATACTTTCCTCTCAGCTTTTGAATTTGAAAGTGAAATTGAGCATGCCTAGACTTGATAAGTAACCAACGGCCACATTTAGTCTAAACTTAAATCAACGAGATACTGCAAGCTCCATCATGTCACAGGTGAGAAAATATTTGTTTAAAAAAATGTTTTTCTGGCTTTTAGAGAAAATAAATATTGATATTTTTTTTTTACTTAATGAAGCACAAGTTAAAACTTTTGGTCTAAATGTGTAATAGTTTTTATCATAAACACGTATAATTGAACCTGGTGCAGTCAGTTTTGGATTCTGTAAATAAAGAAATAAACAATAGTAAAATTCAGATTTTAGCTGTTATTTTTATAAATGCTAATTCAGGAAGAATTTGGCCAAAATCTATTTTATTTTGTATTAAAAATACTATTTAAGGACTATAGATCAAGTCAGTATGATTTTAAGACTTTCATAAATATACTGAAAGTATGGTCCAATTCACGTGCTTTGCAAATAAAGAGTAAAATCATTAACATGATGGATATGTAATAGTGAAAGTAAAATGTGAAAAACAAAACTTATTAAAGTCAGGAAGACCATAATGCATGGACATCTTACCTTTTTAAATCTGTAATTTCTGTTATATTAGGTTGTATATTAGGTTGTTTATATATATATATTCATGCATCAAATAGAAATTCTTCTTAACATATATTTAAAATCACCATCCTTTCAAACTCAACTACTGTTGGCTTTGTTTTTGTTTGTCTCTGTAAAAAAAAAACATGATTTGAAATATTGAAATTATTACTGTTTATTTAACATAACTTTCTAAGAAGTTTTACTTTTCTTGCACAAGTGATAGTTTAAATCTTGATATACTGGGTAAACAATAAATCCTGCTCGACAAGTTAGACAAGATTTTTGTTTTTAGTGGTCATAGATTCTTAAACATCACAGACTGGATTATCTTGAGCATGTTTTAAGAAAATAGACTGTAGTTTTTTTTTTTTTTTTTTTTTTTTTTTTGTTTGTTTGTTTAACATGTTTCCGACTTGTTTTTGATAAAATAATTTCATAAAATATGCAAAGCAAACTGAGATCCTATTATTTCAAGCATCTTTATAAATGCATTTGATAACCTGCAAACAAGTAAACTCCTAAATAGATAGATTATCTTTCATTGTTTAATGACACATAATTTTATATGTTTATCTTAATTCATAACAATAATTAATTATAAGTATTAAGAGTGGCCATAGAATCTGTGACTAGATGAGTCAGAATTTCCTCATTCATAATAAAGACACTAGTTAACAGGCGTCACAAGTGCATGGTTAAAGACAAGCACAGCATTCAATAAAATAACAATAATTACATTACACCTACATTTACCACACCCACATACAACATGTTGATAAATCTGTCTACTACCAGTTTAGATAAAAAAAAAATCCAGAATGAAAAAAATGTTTTGTGACAAATGGTTATTTATTTTCTGTGGGTTAGTTTATTGTCATTGTAACTTAACTGGACCATGAAGAGTTAATCGTGCAGCGCAAGATGATGTGAATCACATTACAAACATTCTTCAATCGTACATTATCACTGCACCTCTGCTTTGCTGACTGTAAAAAGGAAAGAAAAACCAAATGAAAACCGTTTCGTTCCTCCAGGCTTTCATCTCATTCTTTTTCTGTTTTTAGTGTGACTTTATGTCAGTGAAAGGCACTTAACAGCTAAACCTAACCTACTTGTGTAGAACTTTACCTGTACAAATAAAATTGCCCTGCCATGAAATTATATTTGCAGCAAAAGCCTCCTGTTCCTCTTCCAAGAAGAAAGATTAACCATCAAGGGCACTCTGTGGATGAAGAGTGGCTAAGAAGTGACAGCAGCTCTCCTCAGTCTCCAACTGATTCTCCTCAGGTTCATGCAACACAAATCTATGCTCAGATGCGACAGTAGGGCTCATAAAAAAAAAAAAAAAGAGCAAAGTGTTATTAAAATTCTTCCACAGTGACTATTTCTTTTTTATTTATCAACTCCTCAGAGAGGTTCGGAGGAGCCCCCACGGCCTTTTGTCAGAAGACAGCATTCGGAACCAAATTACATTTACATTATTGGAGAACAAGACAAGGTATCAGGATTTCTTGATCAAAACACTTTATCTTTCAAGCTGGTGGAGATTATGCTTATTGGTATCTATAAACATTTACATTTTAATTTCTTTTTCAGCAAACGGCCCAAAAAAAAGTGTTAAAATAGTGATTATCATCCATTAGGAACAGTTGAACATTTAGTCTAGCAAAGACTGGAGAAAAAGACATGCATGAATTGATCCTATGCTAACGGACAAAGTATTTCATAACACACTGAAATGCAATGGAGGATAAAGTAGAAATAATGGATCCAGTTTTAAAACCAGGCTCACTTTCTTTTAAGGTCGACAAGAAGAGTCCATGCCCCCCTCCTCCTTTGCCTGCGAAGCCACCAAGAAAACAGCTGGAGGAACAGCTGGAGGAACAGCTGAAAAAACAGTTAGAGAAAAAGATAAAGGAACAGATAGAGGAAGCTGAGACCCTGGTAATGATTAAACTCTATTATTGCACCATATTAACTTCAGATGCAGCTGAATAACCGAGTAAATTTGTTTTTCTCCTTCCAGGATGACACATCCACACCCGATGAGCAGATTAAAGGTGAGTAAACCTGTCTTTCAGCTGGGATTATGTTACTTACTACCTTCCTGGTTACTGAATTGTAGTTTTGTTGACACAGCATGGAAAGAATATAGAGATCTTCAACTTAGAGGATGCTCAGACGAAAAGCAAGTAGATTTTTTATTATTTCAGTTGAAAAAGAAAACATGCTCAAACTGAAAGGTATATTGTCACCTTGGTTTTGTGTGGGATTTTTGAAAGGGATTGTCTATGGAGTTATCTGCAGTCAATATTTTACTCACAGTAAACACTGACTGACCAAGAGGGTGTTAGGGGGTGTTGGCCACTCTATTTAAGTTCTATTAATTGCAGTCTATGTAAAAAAGAAAATTACTTAATAAAGTCATTGTTTAATCAAATTGCTTAGATTAAAGGAATAGTACACCCAAAACATGATTAGCCTTCATTTTCTACTCACCCCCATGCTGAACAACACTCTGGAGTACTTTTTTGATATCTCAAATGCATCTGGAGATCTGGGAGGCTTCTTGCTGTCTGCTGACATTCAAATAATGGAGGTCTATGGTGCCCGAGACAGAAAGGTCCATAAAAGTCCACAAAAAGCGTGTCAATATTCCTCCATACTGCTCGTCCAATGTATTCCAAGTGTCCTGAGTGGGTAGCATCCAGAATTTACTCGAAACGAAGTCATTTAGAATGTTTTTAGAGCATAAACAGTAGTGTATAGGATTTCCCGAAAGCGCGCACATGCGCGTTCACGACGCTACGGAAGCCGGCAGACCAAACCAGATGAAAGTGCGCATTCAGCGTCTGCTCTGCCAATAATGCAAGCGTAGAAGAAGAAATGTGCTGTTGTGCTTTCAGGAAATCCTATACACTACTGTTTATGCTCTAAAAACATTCTAAATGACTTCGTTTCGCAACCCAGTCTCATGGGAAAATGTACCCCCACTACGTTGGTCCACACTGCAAAACGTAGTGGAGGTACATTAATGGCCATTTTTTTGTGGTACTGTTACGTTTCTTCTACCTATACGCTTTCTATTGTTTTACGTCCTAGTCACGTGACTTTCAAGATTCCAGCTGGGAGAAGGAAAAAAATAAATATAGATGGCCGACATTCGCTCATTTTTTTGTGGAAAGATTAATGACTTGAGTTTGTTTTTGCATTAAAATGAGTTTTGATTACATTTCTAGTGAGAAATGTATAGTTTGTTGCCAGAATATTTACTCAGGGAATGTACATATTCACTTGCTTGTTCGTTTCTTGCAAAGATTTTTCAAGATAATGTGAAACTGTAACATTTTGGTATAAACATGGCTGAGATTTCTCTAACTTTTAGTGGGAAAATCAATAATTTCAATCAGTTTCTGCATTTAAATGGGTTTTGATCACATTTATAGCGAGAAGTGTAGGGTTTATTTACATAATATTTACTTAGTGAACATACATAATCACCCGCTTGCTAGTTTTTGCTACGTTTTTCGGATCTCGTCAGGATTATGTGAAATTGCAACGTTTTGGCTGCTACCCATCGCCTAGCATTTAGCTGCCGCCCCGATTCAACATTGAATCCTTTGTGATTTAACTCCATCTGACGGATCAAACCCTCGCCACTGCGTGTGTTGCGTCTGAGGTTGATTTTCAGATGCATTACGTCGTGGCATACGGGAGAAACTAATTAAACTAGTTTAAAAAAAAGGATCATGGGTTAAGATCGGATGTGTTTTATTTGGAAATCTACCGGATCCTTTGTGCATTTCACTTCCTGTTTGGTGCGATCTCATTGATGGGTTTTGACCAGATTTTGACCAAAGAGGAACTAAAAAAAAAAAAAAAACAATTTAAATACACAACCAGCATATCTGGAATCAATGACAGAGAACATACATAATCACCCGCTTGCTAGTTTTTGCTACGTTTTTCGGATCTCGTCAGGATTATGTGAAATTGCAACGTTTTGGCTGCTACCCATCGCCTAGCATTTAGCTGCCGCCCCGATTCAACATTGAATTCTTTGTGATTTAACTCCATCTGACGGATCAAACCCTCGCCACTGCGTGCGTTGCGTCTGAGGTTGATTTTCAGATCAATGCATTACGTCGTGGCATACGGGAGAAACTAATTAAACTAGTTAAAAAAAGGATCATGGGTTAAGATCGGATGTGTTTTATTTGGAAATCTACCGGATCCTTTGTGCATTTCACTTCCTGTTTGGTGCGATCTCATTGATGGATTTTGACCAGATTTTGACCAAAGAGGAACTAAAAAAAACAAAAAACAATTTAAATACACAACCAGCATATCTGGAATCAGTGACAGAGAGCGACTGGGACCAGAAGTTTATTAATTTCTCCCCACTGATTTCCATTCAAAATGTTTTCGATCCCACCGGGCTCTAGGGAAGGGGCGGGCATACCGCCACCTACTGTTCATGAGTGTGTAGCAACATTGTTTTACATCTATTAAATTCTATTTTTTTATTTTGTATTCTGAAGATAAATAAATAATGCTTTCCTTAATCTATAAATATCTTTTATATTTCCTTTATTTCCCAATAATCCTTTAAGACTCCATTCTTGGCCTGTCCTCTTTTCAATTTCTTCCTTTCAGGTTCATATGTTTTGCAGTTCATCAATACATGTTATACATTTTCTATCTCTCCACATCCTTCACATTTATCATTATTTTTCCTCTCTATTAAGTATAAATTGTCATTTAAATAAGTATGACCTACTCTTAATCTGATCATTATTATTTCTTCCCTTCGGTTTCTCTCATTAATATTTCTATTTAATACTGACTTTTGTACTTTATATAACCTTCTTCCTTTTTATCTTCATTCCACCTTTTTTTTTGCCATTTTTTCAATTTCTTTCCTCTTAATAAATGATTTTCCTTCCCCTTTCCCTAAAGGAATTGTAATTGTTATTTGTCTACTTTTCATTCCACCTAACTTTCCATTAATTAGCTTGAAAACAGCACTTTGTAGGCACCCAGTTTCTCTAACAATGGCCCTTTTTGGGTTACCCTCCATGCATTGGGTGTCAGTTCAGTGGCAGTTCCAGAACATTTTCTTAGGGTTGACCAGGCAGTACAATAATGTGCATGTGGCCAAAAAGTAATAGGGATCAAATTCGGTTCAGAGTCAAGCTATTGGGATCAGGCATCAGGTTCAATTTGCATATTTTCCTAGCCAAAACAAGGATTTGTTGGGCTACTGTAATTTTGAATTGAAAAACGTCCTGAATGGGAAGTCTTCAAACTTGAAAAACAAAGTCCAAAGTTTTTTTTTGTTTGTTTTTTGTTTTTTGTTTTTTTGAATGATTATGACCTTATCAGGGAAATGAATGCCCACAATGTCTGTATTCTCCAAAAGAGAATAACAGAACAGACCTTCATGAGGCCCTTGTTAAAGCTATGCATATATTTATGCATCTATGCTCTTCAAATAACTTTCTGGTTCGACGCAACATTTACATTAAATGGGTTGAGAGGTTGTTCTTTACCAGTAAATACATAAAAGATTCCCAGATGACTGCCGATACAAACTCTCCCCTATAAAACCTGAAACTAATTCTTATAAGAGAGTAAAATCTGTATTAGTCTTCATTAAATGTAGCATATTGTTGTAAATAATCGATTGCTTTATTTTTGGTGTCAGCTTTTGGTCAATATGCTAACCTTAAAAGGTCAAAGTGGGAAAATGTAGTAGTAGTAGACAAATTAGCAATTAGAGGAGGCAATAACAATTACAATTCCTTTAGGGAAAGGGGAAGGAAAATCATTTATTAAGAGGAAAGAAATTGAAAAATGGCAAAAAAAGGTGGAATGAAGATAAAAAGGAAGAAGGTTATATAAAGTACAAAAGTCAGTATTAAATAGAAATATTAATGAGAGAAACCGAAGGGAAGAAATAATAATGATCAGATTAAGAGTAGGTCATACTTATTTAAATGACAATTTATACTTAATAGGGAGGAAAAATAATGATAAATGTGAAGGATGTGGAGAGATAGAAAATGTATAACATGTATTGATGAACTGCAAAACATATGAACCTGAAAGGAAGAAATTGAAAAGAGGACAGGCCAAGAATGGAGTCTTAAAGGATTATTGGGAAATAAAGGAAATATAAAAGATATTGATAGATTAAGGAAAGCATTATTTATTTATCTTCAGAATACAAAATTAAAAAATAGAATTTAATAGATGTAAAACAATGTTGCTACACACTCATGAACAGTAGGTGGCGGTATGCCCGCCCCTTCCCTAGAGCCCGGTGGGATCGAAAACATTTTGAATGGAAATCAATGGGGAGAAATTAATAAACTTTTGGTCCCAGTCGCTCTCTGTCATTGATTCCTGATATGCTGGTTGTGTATTCAAATTGTTTTTTTTTTTTTTTTTTTGTTCCTCTTTGGTCAAAATCTGGTCAAAACCCATCAATGAGATCGCACCAAACAGGAAGTGAAATGCACAAAGGATCCGGTAGATTTCCAAATAAAACACATCCGATCTTAACCCATGATCCTTTTTTTAACTAGTTTAATTAGTTTCTCCCGTATGCCACGACGTAATGCATTGATCTGAAAATCCACCTCAGACGCAACGCACGCAGTGGCGAGGGTTTGATCCGTCAGATGGAGTTAAATCACAAAGAATTCAATGTTGAATCGGGGCGGCAGCCAAATGCTAGGCGATGGGTAGCAGCCAAAACGTTTGCAATTTCACATAATCCTGACGAGATCCGAAAAACGTAGCAAAAACTAGCAAGCGGGTGATTATGTATGTTCACTAAGTAAATATTATGTAAATAAACCCTACACTTCTCGCTATAAATTTGATCAAAACCCATTTAAATGCAGAAACTGATTGAAATTATTGATTTTCCCACTAAAAGTTAGAGAAATCTCAGCCATGTTTATACCAAAATGTTACAGTTTCACATTATCTTGAAAAATCTTTGCAAGAAACGAACAAGCAAGTGAATATGTACATTCCCTGAGTAAATATTCTGGCAACAAACTATACATTTCTCACTAGAAATGTAATCAAAACTCATTTTAATGCAAAAACAAACTCAAGTCATTAATCTTTCCACAAAAAAATGAGCGAATGTCGGCCATCTATATATATTTTTTTCTTCTCCCAGCTGGAATCTTGAAAGTCACGTGACTAGGACGTAAAACAACAGAAAGCGTATAGGTAGAAGAAACGTAACAGTACCACAAAAAAATGGCCATTAATGTACCTCCACTACGTTTTGCAGTGTGGACCAACGTAGTGGGGGTACATTTTCCCATGAGACTGGGTTGCGTTTCGAGTAAATTCTGGATGCTACCCACTCAGGACACTTGGAATACATTGGACGAGCAGTATGGAGGAATATTGACACGTTTTTGTGGACTTTTATGGACCTTTCTGTCTCGGGCACAATAGACCTCCATTATTTGAATGTCAGCAGACAGCAAGAAGCCATTCAGATCTCCAGATGCATTTGAGATATCAAAAAAGTACTCCAGGGTGTTGTTCAGCATGGGGGTGAGTAGAAAATGAAGGCTAATCATGTTTTGGGTGTACTATTCCTTTAAGAGTATGGTAGTTCTAGAGATACATGGAAATCTTTGACTAAAGTTTTCTTTTAAAATCTTAGAATTGTCTATGTTAAAGCTGAAAACCTCTACAAGGCCATTCTGAAGTACATCCAGCTGATAGATGATCATGGAGGGGATCTAAAGTTACTCATCCATGAGATGAATAGCATTTCTGACAACCTGAACAGGGTAAGGTGAATTTTATCTATCTATCTATCTATCTGTCTGTCTGTCTGTCTGTCTGTCTGTCGATTGAGCTGAGTAAAACTTTAAAACTTGCTCTGGATCTTTTAAGTATTCAAAGAACACAAAGATAGCTGGTATCACTGGAGGTGCATCAACAGCAGCAGGAGGGGTCGCAGCGGCTGCTGGGGTGATTCTGGCCCCTTTCACGGGAGGAGCCTCTTTGGCCCTTACGGTGGTTGGTGCTGGCGTCGCTGCAGCCGGCGGTGTCACAGGTGCATCAGCAGCTATTGCGAACAAGGTAACTTACAAACTAGGCAATGATTAACCCTTTGTTTACAATAGATAGTGACAAATAACATTTGAAAAGTAGAAATCAAACTACCATCCATCATCAGTTTAATCTCTTAAAATGTATATTTTTCCAGGCAAACTTAAACCAAGACAAGAAGAAAATTGAAAAGGTATTAAATGATTTTAGTGTCAAGTATGAGGAGATTATCATCTGTCTGAGGTTCATCAATGAAGGCATGGACCTGCTGAAGCGACACGGTGTGGTTTGTCTCAATCAAACCATGATGGAATCAAAGAATGCAGCCTGCGCGGTGAAGCTGACTACAGGAAATGCTAGTGCCATGGCGTCGGAGAAGAGCAGCAACGCTTTTGGAACATTGAAAGGCTTTACAGTTGCCATGGATTTCTATTTCACCCAAGACAAAGATGGACCGAAGGTGAAGAAAGGTCTCCAGTCAAAGCTGGCTAATAAGATCCACAAACTAGCTGAAGACCTTAACAGTGGAGTGGATGAGCTACTGGAAATAAATGAAGTCTTTAATAGGGAATTGTAATAACGATCATTCTTGACCTATTAAAGTAAATTTAATAAAGGCTGAGGTTTAACATATATAATTTTTAATCAGGATAGATAAAGATTATGAAAATCACATTACTGAGCCTTTATTTACTTTACTGACTCCTGATTTAATTCTGAGTGTGAATAATGCTCGTTGTAGTAACCAGGAGAAAGGATTTTCACCAACAAAATCTGTTTTTATTCAAGCACTTTCAAAATACCCTTGATGGATACTTTAGAAAGCCAAATGTCAGACTATTTTATGAATAAGCCTATCTTAACTGATCTGATCCAAGAGGGCAGTGATACAATTGAAATAAACAAATTAACCATTTTGAGAGATATGTGATGTACTAATAGTACTAATGGCAATATTCAATTGCAAAATAAACAATGAAACCTTGAATAACCAATTTTTTTAAAGGTAGTTTTGTGATTTAAAGGAGATTGTTGCTTATTTTATTGTAGCACCTAATGTAAAGCAGTTGACTAGACTAACTTTTGAGCAGGTTGGGGTGGGGATGTGGTGGGATTCAATTAGTTTTAACTATGAATACTGGTGCATGACTGCTAATTATACATAACTAGTGGTAATAAGTGAACATAAGTAATCAGAAAAAACGGCAGATGGGAAAAATGTGTTATGTAAACATCAAAATCCAAATATTTTGGTTGGATTTGGAGGGATCAGAATTAAAACTGTATTTCCACTGAAAAAAACTTTTTGTATCCATTTGTTTCTTATTGGCTGACCCCAAAAAGCGACTAACAGAAAAAGCTATGAGAACTAAATCTGAGTACTCGTTTCACTAACTTACTAGAATCACTTGTCATACTTGTTTTTGTTTCACCGTGTTTTGTTACATTTACTTTAGAAAACCTACTTTGACTTTTGTGAAATTTTATATCATATTGAAAACACATAAATGCATGGATGATGATTGTGGTCTGTTTTCATTTGCACAAACACTCAGATTGTATTTTCAATGTAACGTTGCTTGTGTGCATTGGGCTATACACATGTAATGAAGCAGCATCCACCAAAGTTTTTTTTTAACTTAGTCTTTGGACAAAGACTAAGTAAAAAGTCTGTGGGTTTGGTAGACTTTGACTCTGTGATCATCGGGTCTGAGAGAAGAGACACACTGGTGTTCAGCCACGTTACTTGGTCACCCAAGTCCCCATCCACCTCCACAGAAGAGTACGTTCACTGGCGACCCAGACTAACTCCTGTCTACGATTCAGAGAAAACTGAGTGTAGTGACTTACTTCCTGCGGTTCAAACCAAGTTGAATGATGTATTTTTCAGTGCGAACCTGCCTGCTGAAGCAGATGAGGAAAACTATCCACTTTGCCGTCTGGTTGACCCTCATTTGCTGCCAACGGAACAGTTCAGGCCCGACAGCTGTTTTGCCAAGGTGCAGCTGCAAAGGGGTTAACCAAGCCCACTGGTTCATCCTCTGTTTTGAAGCTGTGCTGCCTGAATACAAAGCTATAAACCGCTACAGGAAAGAGCCATTCTCTCAAAGGTGCTATAAGTGATCAAATTAAGCCCTGCAGATCTGCCTCTTTTGTTATTGCATCGGATTAATCCAAGTGTCTCCGAGAGCTGCCTGTTGGAACGAATGCATGGGGTTCCCGAACTGGACTAAACTAAACTTTACATTTAGCTTGTGCTTATTTTTAATATTGTCTAGGGTTGCATAGTTATTAAATGGGAATTATTAGCCAATAAAGGTACCAATACTTTAACCATGGTTGTCTGTGGTTATTTATGCAGTGAGGGATTTATCAGTCAGAGCCAGATCGACCCTTTTTGATTAACACTTGAAAACAGGCATTTTTGGTTGGTGGTTAATAACTCTGCTGATAGCCATACTCTAATTACTAAATTGGTGAAAGACAACTGGATTTTAACAGATGTACCAGAAGTCCAACCTTGGGTAAAAAACTAAAGAACCTTAATGAGTTATAATCATAAATTGGTTTTATCCTGGATTTTAATGACCTATTAATTAAATACATTTCCAGTTTTAGTTAATCAATATTCTGTTAAATTGCACAAAACCATCAAGCCTCATCAGGGGAGCCGTGTAAAAGTACTTCTTGGCCTTCATGTTAACCACTTGTGGTAAAGTTGAAGCTCTCTGAGGCCCTTGCGTCTCTGTATTTGAGAAGTTTGCCTCAATTTGTGTTTCTCCCACTCAGGTTGTCTCTGAGCTCTTGATTCCTCTACAGCTCATTCTCTGGGTGCTAGGATCAGCTGCATGATTCCAAGTTATCTTCTTGGATGGCAGTTTTCATCTGCTGGTGTGATGGTTCCTCTTCTATCTGGCTCACGTTTGAACCCTGCTCCTCTACATCTGCTTTAGGCTAATCTGCGAGAACCCACATACCGTGCCAAACTCACCTCCATCTTGGAACCTTCCTCCAGACAGTTTGAACCTCATAACTCTCGAACACCACTGATACTTGTGGCAATGATATTTGCTGCATCTTGTTGATGACTCTTCGGCAATCAAACACACAGAGCATGCATGCAGTGACGGTGGAGAGGAAAAACTCCCCTTAACATGAAAAAACTACAGCAGAACCAGGCTCAGTGTGAGGTGATGGAACAATGCATAGAAAAAAGCATGACAAGACTGTGACAATATGTACATATATATATATATATGTATATATATATATATGTATATATATATATATATATATATATATATATATATATATATATATATATATATATATATATATATATATATATGTACATATTGTCACAGTCTTGGTTTTGTTATGTTTATTTAAAGTATTCAGTCTTACTTTGCTCCTTGTTTTAGTGTCTAATTATTATTTTGTTGTTTTTTTGTTAGTTACTGTCCTCCAGGTCTTCCATTTGTTGTCCTCTGCTGCCCTCTTGTGTCCTCTATCCCTAGCTCTGTTTTCTGCTCTGTCCTCCCTTGCTGTTTTCTCTGTCCTGCCAGCACCTGTTGTCAATTTGCTCGTCAGCTCTCTCTTTGTCTCTATCCCCTTTAAAAGCCCTCCCTCTTCAGTTCTTGTTTGCTGGATCCCCGTCTTACATCTCATCAAACCTCTGGTCAGTTCTCTGTCGTCCTTCCTTGTCTCTTCCTGGTTCTTGTATTTTCCCTGATGTCTCCTAGATTCTGGTTCTTAAGATATTTTTGTTGGATTTTTTGACTCCAGATCTCTTAAATTCATCTCAACCAACTCGTCTCTGCATTTGGGTCCTCTAACCAACACCACCAAATCGTGACATATATATATATATATATATATATATATATATAAAACCTCACTTGTTATCTTTCTTTACAGCTATATTCCTCTGTTTATATAAAAAAAAAAAAAAAGTTTTTTCTTTGCCTTTTTCTTCCATCTCTGTCCTGTGTCGTCCTTCCTTCATGTCAAAATTGTAAGTTATGTTCATTTAAAGACTTTTTCCTTTATCTTTCTCTCTGCAGTTCAGCCTGTATTTGGGTCCATCTAAAACTTAACATGGCATGATTAAATGAATACCAGTTTAGCCATATTTTACAAACTCATCTAACTTTCCATCTGGTATGATTTGAGGATAAAAAAAACAACTTTAAATTCACCTGTTTGACGACCAGTGTGAATCCAGAGCAACGGGGTGATAAAAGCTGCATGATGTCCCAGGTAAGAAAATACGATAATAAAATAATTTTAACTTAATTGTTTTTTTGTTTTGTTTTTTGTCAGAGATCAGGGAAAATTTTGCTATTGCATAACACTGCAACATCAAAATTACACAAAAATGTAATGTGCATAATGTTCAAATTTATTGACAAGACTTTTTCATCAAAATTTTGTTCTAAACTGTCTATCTCAAAAAGGAACTAAGCTGCATAATCTTTATGTTGTTGCACATTAAAATATGTTAAAACTAAAGTTATCAGTATTAGTGAGAGAATCTTTCTTTGATACTGCAATTGTAGCAAATCTTTTTTTTTTTTACCACAAAATTGTGTTAACTGTCATTTCTTATACTAAATTCATATCTCAAACATCCTAAAGTATGAAGCATCGGGAAAAAATCTGAGTGAAATGTAGATTTAAGTCCTTCAAAATAAAATTACCATATAGATTTTTGTAAAAAAAAAAAAAAAAAAAAATAGCTTCCTATGGTAAACAATTATTGAATTTCCTAAAAAACACTAAGTAAAATATAATTATTTTTCCCTGTTATGCCCATGTTTTCTGACTTTGACTAACTGTGATTAAATTAAATTGAAATTGTTTAATACCTGATTAACCAGCTTAGCTGCAAAATAATTTTGGACAAAAAGCAAAAAACTTTCTTTTTATTTAATCTTCCTGCACATAAATTAAGCCTGGGATTAAGCATTGGTCATGCAGTTTATTTAAACACCTAACTAGTTCTGTAGCTTACCCTATGTACATAAATGCAAAAACATTCAATTGTTAACCTGCCCACGGTGCACTGTTTTTGTCTTGCTTTAAATCAGGTTTCTATGAGACAAAATATAATCTCATTCTGGCATTATAAGCAGTTCTACATTTAAACAACTTGTAGAACAATAAAATGAAGTGTCAATAGGCCTTTGTTATAAATCTAATTTAACCATCTCTATTTGGTTTTGGTTAAAATACAATTTGTGAATGACATGACGGTGGTTTCTTTTTCTCTTTCAAACAGACCTATCGGTATATAAAGAATTCTACTCCACCACCAGTTCCAATAAAGACATGGTCAAGACAAAATGAAACCACTGATGATGAAAGGGAGGAGAAGGTAAAAGATTTTTCTCATGTGCAAGAAAGTCTGTAAGCTGTATGGTTAATACAGTTGTTTACTTTATGTATGACGTACATCAGAATCAGTTCACAAAATTAGCATCCTATAGTAAACAATTAATGCATACCCTGTTTAAAAACCTGAATTAAATCTTATCCAATTTTTTATGTTATAATGCTCATTAAATTAAAATGACATACAACCTGATTAATCAGCTTAATTGCATAATTTCAGACAAAATGCAACAAAAAATTACTTATCTGAATTTTTTCAGTCTGTATGTAGGTCATACAGATTTATCTTAAAATTTTAAATCAAGCCACATGTGGGTTATACACCTTATTTCTGCACCTAATCAATTCTGTAGCTTTGCTTTATGTCAACAAATGCAAAAACATTTCAACGTTCAGAAAAAAGCGTTTTGAAAAAATTGTCATTCAACTGAAAAGAAGAGAGAATTTGTTGGTTTATTTTATTTCATCAGATGGTTAATCTGGTCACATGCACTATGCATGTTGCATTTATGAATGCAAATCTCTTACATTTTTAGGAGATCTTTTGCTATATTTTTGTTTTAACATACATTACTAAGTTAAAACAGTGTGAAATAAATTT